GGCCTGGGCCTGGGCCTGGGCCTGGGCCTGGGCCTGGGCCTGGGCCCTGGGCCTGGGCCTGGGCCTGGGCCTGGGCCTGGGCCTGGGCCTGGGCCTGGGCCTGGGCCTAGGCCTGGGCCTGGGCCTGGGCCCTGGGCCTGAGGCCTGGGCCCTGGGCCTGGGCCTGGGCCTGGGCCTGGGCCTGGGCCTGGGCCTGGGCCTGGGCCTGGGCCTGGGCCTGGGCCTAGGCCTGGGCCTGGGCCTAGGCCTGGGCCTGGGCCTGGGCCTAGGCCTAGGCCTGGGCCTAGGCCTAGGCCTGAGGCCTGGGCCTAGGCCTGGGCCTGGGCCTGGGCCTGGGCCTGGGCCTGGGCCTAGGCCTAGGCCTAGGCCTAGGCCTAGGCCTAGGCCTAGGCCTAGGCCTGGGCCTAGGCCTGGGCCTAGGCCTAGGCCTGGGCCTAGGCCTGGGCCTGGGCCTAGGCCTAGGCCTGGGCCTGGGCCTGGGCCTAGGCCTGGGCCCTGGGCCTGGGCCTGGGCCTGGGCCTGGGCCTGGGCCTGGGCCTGGGCCCTGGGCCTGGGCCTAGGCCTGGGCCTGGGCCTAGGCCTGGGCCCTGGGCCTGGGCCTGGGCCTGGGCCTGGGCCTGGGCCCTGGGCCTGGGCCTGGGCCTGGGCCTAGGCCTAGGCCTGGGCCTAGGCCTAGGCCTGGGCCTAGGCCTGGGCCTGGGCCTAGGCCTAGGCCTGAGGCCTGGGCCTAGGCCTAGGCCTAGGCCTGGGCCTAGGCCTAGGCCTAGGCCTAGGCCTAGGCCTGGGCCTAGGCCTAGGCCTGAGGCCTGGGCCTAGGCCTGAGCCTAGGCCTAGGCCTAGGCCTGGGCCTAGGCCTAGGCCTAGGCCTGAGGCCTAGGCCTGGGCCTAGGCCTAGGCCTAGGCCCTGGGCCTAGGCCTGGGCCTAGGCCTAGGCCTAGGCCTAGGCCTGGGCCTAGGCCTAGGCCTGGGCCTGGGCCTAGGCCTAGGCCTAGGCCTGGGCCTAGGCCTGGGCCTAGGCCTGGGCCTGGGCCTGGGCCATAGGCCTGGGCCTGGGCCTGGGCCTGGGCCTGGGCCTGGGCCTGGGCCTAGGCCTGGGCCTGGGCCTGGGCCTGGGCCTGGGCCCTGGGCCTGGGCCTAGGCCTGGGCCTGGGCCTGGGCCTAGGCCTGGGCCTAGGCCTGGGCCTAGGCCTAGGCCTGGGCCTAGGCCTAGGCCTGGGCCCTGGGCCTGGGCCTAGGCCTGGGCCTGGGCCTAGGCCTGGGCCTAGGCCTAGGCCTGGGCCTAGGCCTGGGCCTAGGCCTAGGCCTGGGCCTGGGCCCTGGGCCTAGGCCTAGGCCTAGGCCTAGGCCTGGGCCTGGGCCTGGGCCTAGGCCTAGGCCTGGGCCTGGGCCTAGGCCTAGGCCTGGGCCTAGGCCTAGGCCTGGGCCTAGGCCTAGGCCTGGGCCCTGGGCCTAGGCCTAGGCCTAGGCCTGGGCCTAGGCCTGGGCCTAGGCCTAGGCCTAGGCCTGGGCCTGGGCCCTGGGCCTAGGCCTGGGCCTAGGCCTAGGCCTAGGCCCTGGGCCTAGGCCTAGGCCTAGGCCTGGGCCTAGGCCTGGGCCTAGGCCCTGGGCCTAGGCCTGGGCCTGGGCCTGGGCCTAGGCCTAGGCCTGGGCCTAGGCCTAGGCCTAGGCCTGGGCCTAGGCCTAGGCCCTGGGCCTGGGCCTGGGCCTAGGCCTAGGCCTAGGCCCTGGGCCTAGGCCTAGGCCTAGGCCTAGGCCTAGGCCCTGGGCCTAGGCCTAGGCCTGGGCCTGGGCCTAGGCCTAGGCCTGGGCCTGGGCCTGGGCCTAGGCCTAGGCCTAGGCCTGGGCCTGGGCCTAGGCCTGGGCCTAGGCCTAGGCCTGGGCCTAGGCCTAGGCCTAGGCCTAGGCCTGGGCCTAGGCCTAGGCCTAGGCCTGAGGCCTGAGGCCTGGGCCTAGGCCTGGGCCTAGGCCTAGGCCTAGGCCTGGGCCTAGGCCCTGGGCCTAGGCCTAGGCCTAGGCCTGAGGCCTGAGCCTAGGCCTGAGGCCCTGGGCCTAGGCCTAGGCCTAGGCCTAGGCCTAGGCCTAGGCCTGGGCCTAGGCCTAGGCCCTGGGCCTAGGCCTAGGCCTAGGCCTAGGCCTGGGCCTAGGCCTAGGCCTGGGCCCTGGGCCTGGGCCTGGGCCTGGGCCTGGGCCTGGGCCCTGGGCCTGGGCCTGGGCCCTGGGCCTAGGCCTAGGCCTGGGCCTGGGCCTGGGCCTAGGCCTGGGCCTGGGCCTAGGCCCTGGGCCTGGGCCTAGGCCTGGGCCTAGGCCTGGGCCTGGGCCACTAGGCCTGGGCCTAGGCCTGGGCCTAGGCCTGGGCCTGGGCCTAGGCCTGGGCCTGGGCCTAGGCCTGAGGCCTGGGCCTAGGCCTGGGCCTAGGCCTGGGCCTAGGCCTAGGCCTAGGCCTAGGCCTAGGCCTGGGCCTAGGCCTGGGCCTAGGCCCTGGGCCTAGGCCTAGGCCTAGGCCTAGGCCTGAGGCCTGGGCCTAGGCCTAGGCCTAGGCCTAGGCCTGAGGCCTAGGCCTGAGGCCTAGGCCTAGGCCTAGGCCTAGGCCTAGGCCTAGGCCTGGGCCTAGGCCTGGGCCTAGGCCCTGAGCCTGGGCCTAGGCCTGGGCCTGGGCCTAGGCCTAGGCCTGGGCCTAGGCCCTGGGCCTAGGCCTAGGCCTAGGCCTGGGCCTGGGCCTAGGCCTGGGCCCTGGGCCTGGGCCTGGGCCCTGGGCCTGGGCCTGGGCCTAGGCCTGGGCCTGGGCCTGGGCCTGGGCCTGGGCCTGGGCCTGGGCCTGGGCCTGGGCCTGGGCCTGGGCCTAGGCCTGGGCCTGGGCCTAGGCCTGGGCCTAGGCCTAGGCCTGGGCCCTGGGCCTAGGCCTGGGCCTAGGCCTAGGCCTAGGCCTGGGCCTGGGCCTGGGCCTAGGCCTAGGCCTAGGCCTAGGCCTGAGCCCTGGGCCTAGGCCTAGGCCTGGGCCCTGGGCCTAGGCCTGGGCCTAGGCCTGGGCCTAGGCCTAGGCCTGGGCCACTAGGCCTAGGCCTAGGCCTGGGCCTAGGCCTGAGCCCTGGGCCTAGGCCTAGGCCTAGGCCCTGGGCCTAGGCCTAGGCCTAGGCCTAGGCCTAGGCCTAGGCCTGAGGCCCTGGGCCTAGGCCTGGGCCTGGGCCTAGGCCTGAGGCCTGGGCCTAGGCCCTGGGCCTAGGCCTGGGCCTAGGCCCTGGGCCTGGGCCCTAGGCCTAGGCCCTGGGCCTAGGCCTGGGCCTGGGCCTGGGCCTGGGCCTAGGCCTGGGCCTGGGCCCTGGGCCTGGGCCTAGGCCTGGGCCTAGGCCTGGGCCTGGGCCCTGGGCCTAGGCCTGGGCCTGGGCCTGAGGCCTGGGCCTAGGCCTAGGCCTGGGCCTGGGCCTAGGCCTGGGCCTGGGCCTAGGCCTGGGCCCTGGGCCTGGGCCTGGGCCTGGGCCTAGGCCTGGGCCTAGGCCTGGGCCTGGGCCTAGGCCTAGGCCTAGGCCACAGGCCTAGGCCTGGGCCCTGAGGCCTAGGCCTAGGCCTGGGCCTAGGCCTAGGCCTGAGCCTGGGCCTAGGCCTAGGCCTGGGCCTAGGCCTAGGCCTAGGCCTGGGCCTGAGGCCCTGGGCCTAGGCCTAGGCCTAGGCCTAGGCCTAGGCCCTGGGCCTAGGCCTAGGCCTGGGCCCTGGGCCTAGGCCTGGGCCTAGGCCTAGGCCTAGGCCTAGGCCTAGGCCTGGGCCTAGGCCTAGGCCTAGGCCTAGGCCTAGGCCTAGGCCTGGGCCTAGGCCTGGGCCTGGGCCTGGGCCTAGGCCTGGGCCCTGGGCCTGGGCCTGGGCCTGGGCCCTGGGCCTGGGCCTAGGCCTAGGCCCTGGGCCTAGGCCTAGGCCTGAGGCCTAGGCCCTGGGCCTAGGCCCTGGGCCTAGGCCTAGGCCCTGGGCCCTGAGCCCTGGGCCTAGGCCTGGGCCTAGGCCTGGGCCTAGGCCTAGGCCTAGGCCTGGGCCTGGGCCACTAGGCCTAGGCCCTAGGCCTAGGCCTAGGCCTGGGCCTAGGCCTAGGCCTAGGCCTAGGCCTGGGCCTAGGCCCTGGGCCTAGGCCTAGGCCTAGGCCTGAGGCCTGGGCCTAGGCCTAGGCCTAGGCCTAGGCCTAGGCCTAGGCCTAGGCCTAGGCCTAGGCCTAGGCCTAGGCCTAGGCCTAGGCCTAGGCCTCAGGCCTAGGCCTAGGCCTAGGCCTAGGCCCTGAGCCTAGGCCTGGGCCTAGGCCTAGGCCTAGGCCTAGGCCCTGGGCCTAGGCCTAGGCCTAGGCCACAGGCCTAGGCCTAGGCCTAGGCCACAGGCCTGGGCCTAGGCCTAGGCCTAGGCCTGGGCCTAGGCCTAGGCCTAGGCCTAGGCCTGGGCCTAGGCCTGGGCCTGGGCCTAGGCCTGGGCCTGGGCCCTGGGCCTGGGCCTGGGCCTGGGCCTGGGCCTAGGCCTGGGCCTAGGCCTAGGCCACTAGGCCTGGGCCTGGGCCCTGGGCCTAGGCCTAGGCCTAGGCCTAGGCCCTAGGCCTGGGCCTGAGGCCTAGGCCTGGGCCTAGGCCTGGGCCTAGGCCTAGGCCTGGGCCTAGGCCTAGGCCTAGGCCTAGGCCTGAGGCCTGGGCCTAGGCCTAGGCCTAGGCCTAGGCCTAGGCCACTAGGCCTAGGCCCTAGGCCTGGGCCTAGGCCTAGGCCTAGGCCTAGGCCTGAGGCCTAGGCCTAGGCCTAGGCCTAGGCCCTGAGCCTAGGCCTAGGCCTGGGCCTAGGCCTAGGCCTAGGCCTAGGCCTAGGCCTAGGCCTGGGCCTAGGCCTGGGCCTAGGCCTAGGCCTAGGCCTGAGGCCTGGGCCTAGGCCTAGGCCCTGGGCCTAGGCCTAGGCCTAGGCCTGGGCCTAGGCCCTGGGCCTAGGCCTAGGCCTAGGCCTAGGCCTGGGCCTGAGGCCTAGGCCTAGGCCCTGGGCCTAGGCCTAGGCCTAGGCCACAGGCCTAGGCCTGGGCCTAGGCCTAGGCCTAGGCCTAGGCCTAGGCCTAGGCCTAGGCCTAGGCCTAGGCCTAGGCCTAGGCCTAGGCCTAGGCCTGAGGCCTGGGCCTAGGCCTAGGCCTAGGCCTAGGCCTAGGCCTAGGCCTAGGCCTAGGCCTAGGCCTAGGCCTAGGCCCTGAGCCTAGGCCTAGGCCTAGGCCTAGGCCTAGGCCTGAGGCCTAGGCCTAGGCCTGAGGCCTAGGCCTAGGCCTGAGCCTGGGCCTAGGCCTAGGCCACAGGCCTAGGCCTAGGCCTAGGCCTGAGCCTAGGCCTAGGCCTAGGCCTAGGCCTAGGCCTAGGCCTAGGCCTAGGCCTGGGCCTAGGCCTGGGCCTAGGCCTAGGCCTGGGCCTGGGCCTAGGCCTGGGCCTGGGCCTGGGCCTGGGCCTAGGCCTGGGCCTAGGCCTAGGCCTAGGCCTGGGCCCTAGGCCTAGGCCTGGGCCTAGGCCTAGGCCTAGGCCTAGGCCTAGGCCTAGGCCTAGGCCTGGGCCTGGGCCTAGGCCTGGGCCTAGGCCTAGGCCTAGGCCTGGGCCTAGGCCTGAGGCCTGGGCCTAGGCCTAGGCCTGGGCCTGAGGCCTGGGCCTAGGCCCTGGGCCTAGGCCTAGGCCTAGGCCTGGGCCTAGGCCTAGGCCTAGGCCTGAGGCCTAGGCCTAGGCCTAGGCCTGAGGCCTGGGCCTAGGCCTAGGCCTGGGCCTAGGCCTAGGCCTAGGCCTAGGCCTGAGGCCTAGGCCTGAGGCCTAGGCCTAGGCCTAGGCCTAGGCCTAGGCCTAGGCCTAGGCCTAGGCCTAGGCCTAGGCCTAGGCCTAGGCCCTAGGCCTAGGCCTAGGCCCTGGGCCTAGGCCTAGGCCTGAGGCCTAGGCCTAGGCCTAGGCCTAGGCCTAGGCCTAGGCCCTGGGCCTAGGCCTAGGCCTAGGCCTGAGGCCTAGGCCTAGGCCTAGGCCTGGGCCTAGGCCTAGGCCTGGGCCTAGGCCTAGGCCCTAGGCCTAGGCCCTGGGCCTAGGCCTAGGCCTAGGCCTAGGCCTAGGCCCTGAGGCCTGGGCCTAGGCCTAGGCCTGGGCCTGGGCCTGGGCCTAGGCCTGGGCCCTGGGCCTAGGCCTAGGCCTAGGCCTAGGCCCTGGGCCTAGGCCTAGGCCTAGGCCTAGGCCTAGGCCACAGGCCTAGGCCTGGGCCTAGGCCTAGGCCTAGGCCTGGGCCTAGGCCTAGGCCTAGGCCTAGGCCTGGGCCCTGGGCCTAGGCCTAGGCCTAGGCCTGAGGCCCTGGGCCTAGGCCTAGGCCTAGGCCTAGGCCCTAGGCCTAGGCCTAGGCCACAGGCCTAGGCCTAGGCCTAGGCCTAGGCCTAGGCCTAGGCCTAGGCCTAGGCCTAGGCCTAGGCCTAGGCCCTGAGCCTAGGCCTAGGCCTAGGCCTAGGCCTAGGCCCTAGGCCTAGGCCTAGGCCTAGGCCTAGGCCCTAGGCCTAGGCCTGAGCCCTAGGCCTAGGCCTGGGCCTAGGCCTAGGCCTAGGCCTAGGCCACAGGCCTAGGCCTAGGCCTAGGCCTAGGCCTGGGCCTAGGCCTAGGCCTAGGCCTAGGCCCTGGGCCTAGGCCTAGGCCTGGGCCTAGGCCTAGGCCTAGGCCCTGGGCCTAGGCCTAGGCCTGGGCCCTGGGCCTAGGCCTAGGCCTAGGCCTAGGCCTAGGCCTAGGCCCTGGGCCTAGGCCTAGGCCTAGGCCTAGGCCTAGGCCTAGGCCTAGGCCTAGGCCTAGGCCTAGGCCTAGGCCTGGGCCTAGGCCTAGGCCTAGGCCCTAGGCCTAGGCCTAGGCCTAGGCCTAGGCCTAGGCCTGAGGCCTAGGCCTAGGCCCTAGGCCTAGGCCTAGGCCTAGGCCTAGGCCTAGGCCACAGGCCTAGGCCTAGGCCACTGAGGCCTAGGCCTAGGCCTAGGCCTAGGCCTGAGCCTAGGCCTAGGCCTAGGCCTAGGCCCTGAGCCTAGGCCTAGGCCTAGGCCTAGGCCTAGGCCTAGGCCTAGGCCCTGGGCCTAGGCCTAGGCCTAGGCCTAGGCCCTGGGCCTAGGCCTAGGCCTAGGCCTAGGCCTGGGCCCTAGGCCTAGGCCTAGGCCTGGGCCCTGGGCCTAGGCCTGGGCCTAGGCCTAGGCCTGGGCCTAGGCCCTGGGCCTAGGCCTAGGCCTGGGCCTAGGCCCTGGGCCTAGGCCCTGAGGCCTAGGCCTAGGCCCTGGGCCTGGGCCTAGGCCTAGGCCTAGGCCTAGGCCTAGGCCTAGGCCCTGGGCCTAGGCCTAGGCCTAGGCCTGAGGCCTAGGCCTAGGCCTGAGGCCTAGGCCTAGGCCTAGGCCCTGAGCCTAGGCCTAGGCCTAGGCCTAGGCCTAGGCCTAGGCCTAGGCCTAGGCCTAGGCCTAGGCCTAGGCCTAGGCCTAGGCCACAGGCCTAGGCCTAGGCCTAGGCCACAGGCCTAGGCCTAGGCCTAGGCCTAGGCCTAGGCCTAGGCCTAGGCCACAGGCCTAGGCCTAGGCCACAGGCCTAGGCCTAGGCCTAGGCCTAGGCCTAGGCCACAGGCCTAGGCCTAGGCCTAGGCCTAGGCCACAGGCCTAGGCCTAGGCCTAGGCCCTGGGCCTAGGCCTAGGCCTAGGCCACTAGGCCTAGGCCCTGGGCCTAGGCCTAGGCCTAGGCCTAGGCCTGGGCCTGGGCCTAGGCCTAGGCCACTAGGCCTAGGCCTAGGCCTGGGCCTGGGCCTGGGCCTAGGCCCTAGGCCTAGGCCCTGGGCCTAGGCCTAGGCCCTGGGCCTAGGCCCTGGGCCTAGGCCACAGGCCTAGGCCCTGGGCCTAGGCCTGAGCCTAGGCCTGAGGCCTAGGCCTAGGCCTAGGCCTGGGCCTAGGCCTAGGCCACTGGGCCTAGGCCTAGGCCTGGGCCCTGAGCCTGGGCCTGAGGCCTAGGCCTAGGCCTAGGCCTAGGCCTAGGCCACAGGCCTAGGCCTAGGCCCTAGGCCTAGGCCTAGGCCTAGGCCTGAGGCCTAGGCCTAGGCCTAGGCCTAGGCCACAGGCCACAGGCCTAGGCCCTAGGCCTGAGGCCTAGGCCTAGGCCTAGGCCCTGAGGCCTAGGCCACAGGCCTAGGCCTAGGCCTAGGCCTAGGCCTAGGCCTAGGCCTAGGCCTAGGCCTAGGCCTAGGCCTAGGCCACAGGCCTAGGCCTAGGCCTAGGCCTAGGCCCTGGGCCTAGGCCTAGGCCTGGGCCACTAGGCCCTGGGCCTAGGCCTAGGCCTAGGCCTAGGCCCTGGGCCTAGGCCTAGGCCTAGGCCTAGGCCTAGGCCCTGGGCCTAGGCCCTAGGCCTGGGCCTAGGCCTAGGCCCTGGGCCTAGGCCACTAGGCCTAGGCCTGGGCCTAGGCCTAGGCCTAGGCCTAGGCCACTAGGCCTAGGCCCTGAGCCTAGGCCTAGGCCCTAGGCCTAGGCCTAGGCCCTGAGGCCTAGGCCTAGGCCTAGGCCTAGGCCTAGGCCTAGGCCTAGGCCTAGGCCTAGGCCTAGGCCTAGGCCTGAGGCCTAGGCCTAGGCCTAGGCCTAGGCCTAGGCCACAGGCCTAGGCCTAGGCCTAGGCCACTAGGCCTAGGCCTAGGCCTAGGCCTAGGCCTAGGCCATAGGCCTAGGCCTAGGCCCTGAGGCCTAGGCCTAGGCCTAGGCCTAGGCCACTAGGCCTAGGCCTAGGCCCTAGGCCTAGGCCTAGGCCTAGGCCTAGGCCCTGAGGCCTAGGCCTAGGCCTAGGCCTAGGCCACAGGCCTAGGCCTAGGCCTAGGCCCTGGGCCTAGGCCTAGGCCTGGGCCTAGGCCTAGGCCTGAGGCCTAGGCCTAGGCCCTAGGCCTAGGCCTAGGCCTAGGCCACAGGCCTAGGCCTAGGCCCTGGGCCTAGGCCTAGGCCCTGGGCCTAGGCCACTGGGCCTAGGCCTAGGCCTGGGCCCTAGGCCACAGGCCTAGGCCTGGGCCCTGGGCCTAGGCCTGGGCCTAGGCCTAGGCCCTGGGCCTAGGCCCTAGGCCTGGGCCTGAGGCCTAGGCCTAGGCCTAGGCCTAGGCCTAGGCCTAGGCCTGGGCCACTAGGCCTAGGCCTGGGCCCTGGGCCTAGGCCTAGGCCTAGGCCTAGGCCTAGGCCTAGGCCTAGGCCCTGAGGCCTAGGCCTAGGCCCTGGGCCTAGGCCTAGGCCTAGGCCTAGGCCTAGGCCTAGGCCTAGGCCTAGGCCTGAGCCTGAGCCTAGGCCTAGGCCCTGAGCCTAGGCCTAGGCCTAGGCCTAGGCCTAGGCCTAGGCCTGAGGCCTGAGCCTAGGCCTAGGCCTAGGCCCTGAGCCTAGGCCTAGGCCTAGGCCTAGGCCTGGGCCTAGGCCTAGGCCTAGGCCTAGGCCTAGGCCTGGGCCTAGGCCTAGGCCTAGGCCTGGGCCTAGGCCTAGGC